CTTCCCAGCATCTGTCTGCGGTACCTTTTTGAAGTGCAGAATGCATGCCAATTTAAAATACCTCTCCAAAGGTCGACATAACCTAAGACATAAATTCACCAGCCTTTGAAACAAGGTGAAGTTTCAGATGTGGTAGGAGAACAGAGTGACTTGCTGTAGGGAATGTGGTTCTCTGTTAGACGTTTAATTTTATGGTAGTGCAGCATATCTATTGCTACAAAATGGGTGCGTGGAAATACTGAATTCAGTGCTATTTCTTCTATAATTTCACTGCGGATTCTTTGCTGAAAAAGTCTTGCAAGTCCAGCCCTTTCTTTGATTTCCCGAGTTTATTACCCAGTGCTGTAAAGCCCTCTGTACTAACTTAAACCTTCTGAGCCTGTAGGAGATAAATAGAAGTGTTATTTTGATATGGGAACAAAGAAGTAGGATGATTATACTGAGATAAGGCAGGGTGGGTTTTATGGCCCTTTTACATAATCTCACTTAGGCACCTACCATATTGTTCTGATTTTCAGTCAGCCCTGCAAATATGATGACCTCTCATTTGCAGGATTATTTTGAGGACGAACAGCTTTTTTCCCCCTGAATGTTCCCTGATAACTAAAATTAACACTCTGAATTGCTTGTATCCTTAGAAGATCCCACAGGGGATTCAGATGGCCAAGGAAAGGTTCCCAAAGGGTCAACTGCACTAAAAATATGAAAATAAAACTGCACCCAAAAGATTTCTGATTTAGTATTATTACTGCATGCACAAAAATACTGTAGGTACAAACATCAGATATATCAGGGGCCTGAGTATAGGTTGACCCTGCACATAAAAAAGAGTGTGACTTACTTGGTTCTTTTGGAGGGGCAAAAAGATTTATAATCAGAACAGCAAATGGCCTTTACCACTGTAGTATCTCTGTCTAATGCATCTAGCCTCACAACATGCTATGAGGCAGGACAAGGGCTACAGTCCTTATTGTACTGATAGGGATCTCAGGCACAAAGTCACTCAGGAAATCTGGGATGGTACAAGGAACGTGGCTCTCCAGTATCTTAGGCTAGTGCACTGCGCATCAGAGTATTGCTTGTCGTTCTTAGAATAACATTTTTAGTTTAGAGTACAACTTCAAAAGCTTCAATAAAGGTGGTGCACAGAACTATAAGGGCCTATCAAGTAATTACAGACATTGATGGCTTTCCATCCTCTGTGGTTCTACTGATGTGAGCAGACAGATGGTGAGCTGTGTTAGTCTGAAGTCAGCCAGAAGGCAGGGAAGAGAAGCACCGTATAGACTAAATCAGAGATCCATAAGCTTTTATGAGCCCAAGCTCACTTCATCAGATGCTGTCAAAGGACATGACCTGTGAAAGGGCATGACTGTTCTGTGCATTTCCTTTCATAGCAGCTGATGAAGTGAGCTCAGGCTCATGAAATCTTGTGCATGTCTGATTTAGTTGGTCTATAAGGTGCATCTCTACCCGGCCTTCGAGTCCGTTGATGATGTTTGAAATGAAGTATAAAAAGAGGGGAAGGCTTTCCTGTGTTCTAAAAAAATTAATAGAAATTGAGGCAGGGAAAAGGACTGATTAACGAACAAGAGTGATTAGGATTCACATTGTTCTGCTGAATATTCCAAGACCCCTTGCAAAACCTGAAACCACAACCAAGAGGAACAGCTGCAGCCTTTTTGTTGTGTAAGCTGGGCCTCTTTTGGCTCGGGGGGAAAGCGTTTCATTCAAAATGGTAGCTGACAGGTGTTCATGTTAAGAGAAGACAGCATTAAAAATGATCCATTTGTTTCCTTCTAGAGAGTTTCCTATTGTGTACTCACAATATGCTTTCCTGTTTTTTAAAAATAAAATAAAATAAAAAAGAAACCCAACCCATGGCCTATGGTTCCTCTTTGGCAGGCTTCAATGAAAGAAGCATTTAAAGTGGATGGCTCTGTAATTGCTTTTCCGTCCTTTGCACTGATGTAGCGGCCACTGCCCTGTCATTCTGTTGCTGCTTTTAAAAGTTGTGTGATAAGTAGATGTGAAGAAAATGTCATGGGAGGATAAATCTCAAAACTGGTTGTCCTCAGTCTTTGAATACGTTCTACCTTCGTCACTGGTGCACTGGGAAAGCTGATACTAGCAATTACACCACAGGCTGGGAATGGGGCAGGGGATTGGAGTGGGAGAAAAGAGTGAAACTAAATTGAGTCCCTGAGTGAAACTGAATTGAGGGTGGTGTATTGTATTTCAATTGGATTCTATTTTTTTTATCATTTTAGAAAATATAGATTTAGGGGATTATAGACATAGGGCTTATCTGTACATGGAAGCTATTGCAAAATAAGTTAGGATATGATTTTACAGTGAAATAGCTATTTTATACAGTCTCCCTGGGCAAACAGTCTTATTCTGCAGAGAGGGTACTGTTCTGTGGCTTTCAAAGTGAACTAGAACATTGAGTACAGACAAGTATGTCCACATGGGTAACTAGGGTACAGTAATTGTTGCTGAATAGCTGCTATCCAAGGCTGTTTTCTTATATAGTTAAGCCCTGGCTATTTAATACTAGTTTGGAAATATTTTTGCCAGTCTCAAGGTGGGTGGTATCACTTGGGTTTGGTTGCAGTGAATCTATGTCCCAAATGTATTTTAAAGATGGTAGATGTCCAAGAACAGCTCATGAGTAAGAATGTTAAAGTTGTCTGGCCTGTGTCCGCAACTGCATTTTTACACATTGGCCAATGCTCATTGTATCAGGTGCCCTTTTTCCCTGCTAAGAAACCAAAACCACATTCTCTGTGCTGCAAAATAATTTACAATAGTTGCTGCTGAATGCATGTAATACCACCCAGGTTAAAACCATTGGAGCAGTGCCTAAAGCAGCTATCTTCTATATTTGGTCTTTTTTTGAGGACGAAGAAAAAAAGATCTTTCTTGGGAGCGCAACTTAAAATACTTAAGGACAATAGGATCAGTCCTTTAAACAAGCACAATTCCTTGTGAAGCATTGCCTGAATAAGCATGGCAGGGTCTGACCTAACTGGAAATAGAAGAAAATTTCAGTTAATATATGCAGATGAAAAGCTGAACCCCTTTTAAGTGTGGCACTGCTGAAGGTGTATGCAGCATGCACCAATAGACACAACTGATAGCAGGTTGCAGATCAAGTGTGCCAAGGCGCTATAGTATGTTTAATGGATTTTAAACAAAGTGTAGCATTCTTTCCTCCTGATCTCACAAATGGCCGTGTTATTCCCACTGACATTAATGGTAAAATTTCCTTTGACATTGCTGGGGTAGGTGTGGCCCTGAATTCCTAGCAGTGTGACCAATGCTGAGTATTCGCAGGTTCAGAGCAGTGACTGCCACATGTACCAGTGAGAAAAAAGGAAAAGGAACCTTACCTGGCAGGGGAGATACCACGATCAACAGGTTTTCCCAGGGTGAGGCCTGTCCATTGCCCTTTGGGCAGGCAGGCTGACCCCTGTGAGTTTCCCTAATACGGGAAACTTGACTAAATAATTTTGTGGTAGCGGGGGTGTTTGTACCCTGGCTTGCTCCCTCGGCCTTTTGACTAGGCGGCATCTGAACTCCCAATGCCTTTAGGCTGGGGCCTGCATGTAGGATGCCTGCCCTGGATTTGGGGAGCATCTGAAGTCCCAGACTGATGGGTCTGGGAGGGAGGATACTTGCCCGGTGGTAGAACCGCACAGACTTGAACTATCGAGCTTGGCTCAGTCGATTTGGAGTTCAAAAGTAATTCAGCCTTAAGCCAAAAAAATCCCAAACACCCCACCTTTGTTTAGTGGTGTCAATCCTTTTTTGAGAATTAGATGTCCTATAGAGACATCTCTAGCAACAATGGGCTCTTTAAGTCTTTGTACCACCATTGTTTCTGCTGTGGGCTTCTCACTTTGCTTTGTTATCCTGTTTTCTTCCTTTTTACCATTCCTCCTTTTTTGCACCCAGAAGACCAGTTCCTGTCTGCTACCCCCAACTACCCTACAGTTATTGTGCACAAAGAGTGCTCATTCACAATGGGAGGCAGACTCCCAAGGTGTCAAGACCCTGCCTGTCATGTTTTCACTTGTGCAGAGGTGTTGTGCGTGCAGATCTCCCAAACTGAGTTTTTAACATCTTCTGGTGTCCTTTGGAAAACAAAGGCAATGAGTGAATATTTCCATGACACTCTTCCTGTCACGAGGAAAAGCGGTAGGATCTAAACAGTGAGGAAACAGCTTGAGGGAAAATCCACAATATTTTTAAGCTTTATGTATGTATAGGAAAATATTTCAAGTTGATTGTGTTTGTGTGAAGCTTTTATATTTAATACTTTTTCATTGAACATGCAAGCATTTTTCTTTCCATTCTCTTTTGCATCTCACCTTCTGTATTTAAAAAGGTGCCTGGAATATTTGTTACAGCTACTAAAACAATAAAAGGGGCATGACAGAAAGAGTGGAAAATGTTGTAGTGAAGTTTTAATAATTAGTTTGAACTGTGGCAGTGCCAAGGGACCTGTCAAGGCCTATGACCCCATGTGGCTATGTTGTACATACGCAGAACAAAAAGGCAGTTCCTGGTCCAAAGAACTTATGGCAGGAGAGATGCAGCCTGTTTCCACCTCTCCCACAGACTCACATGATTACCTTTCATCTCTCTGCTTTTGCTGAAATCAGTGTTAAAACTCCTGTTGCCTTAATGCTGTCCATAAATGGTCTCCATGTACTGATTTGCGACATGTGGGTGGTGATAGTTCTATGGGAAATGATTTGCTGTGAGGCTGAAAACCCCAAGTTGTTGCTTGTAAAGGGTTTTGAGAACCTTAAACATGAAGCACTGGTAAAAATGCCAAGTTTTGTTTTTTATTATATGAAAATCATATTTTCCCCTCTGTGCTCCATTTCATCACGAGTAGAATATTGCTCGCTTAGTTTCATAAGCACAATGAACATAAACTGCTTAGGTTAAATGCATTTTAACATTGCTGTTACTATCTTCTTTTGCAGACACTGGTCACCAGACTCGTTCTGTGTCCAACAGATCTTACTACACCTTGCCCAACAGTAGCCATGAGAGGCGCTCATTTTTTGCCATCACAGAGCCACCACGTTTCCATTCCCAAGCCAAAGGCAAGAATGTCCGTCTGGATGCCCACTCCCGCAAGGCCACCCGGAGGAATAGCTTCTGCAATGGGGTCACTTTCACCAACCGGCCCATCCATCTCTATGAGAAAGTGCGGCTCAAGCTGGTGGCCGTGCACCATGGGTGGAGCGGCGCACTGCGCTTCGGCTTCACTATTCATGACCCATCACAGATGAGCTCTGATGAGATACCAAAGTACGCCTGCCCAGACCTGGTGACCCGACCTGGATATTGGGCTAAAGCTTTGCCAGAGAGGTTTGCAGTGAGGGACAACATCTTGGCTTTCTGGGTTGACCGTCATGGGAGAGTCTTCTACAGTGTCAACAATGAGGAGCCTGTATTGTTTCACTGTGGCATTAAAGTCTCTGGGCCTCTCTGGGCACTCATAGATGTCTATGGAATTACCCACGAGGTGCAAATACTAGGTGGGTATATATCTGCTTACATTTGCTCCCTGGTTTTGGGCGTATAGATTTCTCTTCCTCTGAAGTCAGCTGCCAGATCAGGGAGGATCCTAGCTCTGCTCAGTGTCCCAAGACTAGACTTAAAAATGCATAATTATTTGTCTCTTGTTACGCACTTCAGAATAGCCATTTCCCTATTGGTAGCTGAAGGGACACAGGGAGTTCTGGTCTGGAGAAGGCAGCAATGGGTGTAATACAGTAGACTACACCTGGTCTAGAGTAGTATAACCCCTGCAGGTTTGGGGGCTCTTACCAGTCTAGTTCTACACATCTCAAGTACTCGGGCTTCTACTACTCCTTGAGAAATGAACTGACATCAAGAAAGATGCCATGGCTCATTCTGTAACTCCTTGCCCTGTACCTCCAAATTCAGTCTGAATTTTCCAACTTCACCTCATCATTCATAGACTTCATAGATCCATGGATTGTTAGGCCAGATAGGGCCTTTATTATCTTATGTCTGACTTGCATAACACCAGGGAAAGGAAGCCCACACAAACTTTGTTTATGAAGTACAGACCCTTGTAATGCATATGGATGGCATTTTGTGTTTCCTAGTAAATGCTCGACCCTTAGTCAAGTCAGTTCAATATAACCTCATTATAATGCACCCCGTTTATAACAAACCCCTACTCTTAACAATCCCAGCAACTGAAACCCATCATCTGCTGCATTACTATGATGCAGTAAACTGATTAACCATAGTATACCAAACTTCCTCTTTGAATAAACTTTTCTCCTGATCCCATGGGGATTCCTTATAATGAAGCTGTACTGAATACAACTTTCATTCAAGATCTTTAATCATTTAGGACCAAGATGGCATTTCCCAATTCTGTTTTAAGCCAGCCTAGGAGATGGTTTGTGCTCACCGATACTGAACCAGGCAGGATACTAGGTGTCAACATTGCAAGTTGAGTTTTCATTTTAAAGGCATGCAAATCCATTATCCCTCCTGCTGGACGGGACTAGTCCATCAAGCCTGGTGTGCCATGTCTTGTAGCGCACCTAGCTGCTTCACGGTACCTGTGTGAAGTAGGATGCTGCCTGTAGAGTAGTGTGTCTTGGGGAGTGAAGAGACCATGGCAATTTAATCAGGCTTCCTCTGTTCATGTTTCAGCCCTCCACTTGCCATCTGTACAGTGAAGCGCTATGACATCCTCCCAGTGTGTCCTGTTCCCTTTTCCCAGCCCCTGGTCTGAAACTGCAGTTTGTATATTTATCTCCTCTGAGGGCCACTTAGAGCCTCTCATGGTGCATTCCTGCACTATCAAGAGTTTTTTAGAAAGTACAGCACCTAGGCGCGAGAGAATCCAGCTTCCAAGCTTATCAGGAAGGGGACAGCAGTGTCGTCATACTCAAGAGTTTGGAAACCTTCCTAAGCTTTGGGTTATTCCACTTCCCTTTTAAATGATTCTCTTTAGAAAAGAGATTTAAGGTCACATTGCTTTTGATTTATCCTCTCATCCTTCTGTGCTACAGGTGATTGTTTGGTTCAGTAAGCTCACCTAGATTTACAATTCAACAGACTTTGCTTGCAAGCCAGAGCTGACTTATCTTTGCCCTTACAAACAGGGACATTCCCATATGTTTACAAAGCACTGGATGTTGATACCGGATGATGTAATCTGCTAGTTGAAGTGTTCTGAGAACATTAACCTAATACTCATGTGTTTCCCGGCTGCTTCTGGGCATCTGCAGTAGGGGCTTTGCATCCCTCCCCCGACTTACATTACTGAAAAGTTGGGCTTTACTGAGTCACTGAATTCAGCTGTGACTGCAGATTTGTTTTGGAAGGAAGACTGTGTGAAGGTTTTCTCCTTCCAGTTGCTGTGACTGCAAAAGAAGATGAATTAGTTTCAGTTAGAATATTAAACAAGCCTCCTTAGAAGTTTGCATCTGGTGTCTTGCATTCAAAAACTTGTCTAACTTTATCCCAAGTGCATAGTTCATCCAATAAAAGATACCATCCTAAGAAATCTTTGCTTCTCAATATTTCTGGATCATCGTGCTACAGCATCACTCCTAAACTACCTCTGATGTTTAAGCACTTGAGATTTAAGCAAACTGGGGGCAGAGTGTGTTTCAAACAAGTATGCACTGATATTGGAATGCACTTAACATGCTTATAAAATCTCCTTTGCCTGCCATGATCCTGCCCTACAGATTGCCATATTTAGGCCTAAAAAGCCATGGCTACTTTTCTACTAAGAAAGTGTCAACAACTTTTTATTGAATAGACACCAAAATGCATCCTTATGTTTGGCTGAAGCAATTAGTTTATGAGAGATGTATCGTGGAGGGAGATTGCTGTCTGTTGGAGACTGGTTATCGTACAGCAGATAATACTAACAGGGAAATAGCACTTTGTATAGTGATACTGCATGCTCTATTGGCATCAGACACATCGTTAAGCTTTAGCATTAGCTCATCCCTTAATTGTAGCTACTATCCAATCAAATGCCATTGACAATAGTGAAAGAATTTCAAATATATTGGGCAATATTGTATTCCTAACCAGAACGAGCACTAGCAAAGCCCTTTCTTTTTCTAACGCTGCACATTCTTCTCCGATTTTGCCTTGCTCTGGTATAAGCACATAGAGCCACACAGTGCCTTTGCCAGTCAGGTGCTTAGTTCTATTCCCAATTCCAGCATCCGCTCCCAATAGGTGATGATGGACATCCTTCTTTCCAAAGTGCTGAGCATATGCAGCTCCCATTGGCTTCATGTGGAGTTATTGCTGTCCAGTACTTCAGACAACTTCTCTGTGCCTCAGTTTCCTCTTTTACAGAGAAGGAACAACAGTGTTGGAGTGGGCTTGGAGGTTAAATTCAGTGTTTTTTGATCCTTGGATTACTAGTGCTGTAGAACATAGGGTGCTGTTTATAATGTATGACCACTACTAATATGGTGAAAGGCTGTGATTGTCCTACACGTGGTATTGTGCTTAATTCTTCCCATTATAAAAAGTTGCTCTAAGTTTGGTGTCAGATGCCAAAGGGAGAATTTAGGAAAGCTTTATCTCAGTTCTGCTTGTCAGCTTGTCTTCCAGTGCACTGTGTCCCCTTGTTTTTATTCTTCTGGTCTTTTTTAACCAGAGCTACTAATTTTATTGTTTTTACCTTTGAAAACACCAGTAATAGGGGAGAGCTGGGAAAATCGCCCAAATATAGAAGCAACTGCAGGCCCTCCATGAAATACATCTGCCACTGTTGGTATCCTGAAACTCTGAAGTGTCCTTCACTCTGTATCGGAGTGCTACTTATCACCCGATTCCCTGTCCCTTCTAGAAGCAGCTGGTCCAAGTCATTAAGATTACGCTTGAGGCTTTTCTTATTTGGGTACTCAAAGAAATCATCCATCTAAGATGAGGCATCCTGTCCTTTTCAACCACTGAACTGGTTCATGGTTTTGCCTTCTTTGGTAAAAGCCTAGTGGGATCCTTTAAAGTAAAAAACAGTGCTGAGGTTGCTGCTTCACCCTTCTCCATCTTGGAGAATGAGTTAAATTCTGCTTTGCTCATGCTCTCAGGATTCCTTCTGCATCAGATTTAGTCTGGAGTTTAATATAATTGCTTAAGAATCACATGGGCAATAGAGACTAACATTGGACTGAGGTGCAGAGCTAATTCTAAGTCTTGACTATCTGTGGCTGCCCAAATCATTCCTCCACTTTTTGCTAAATGTAGCAAGTAGCTTTCATTGCCATTACTTCATAGGAATGTACTTAGCTTATCAACTTTGCATGCAGTCTGGGTGCCTCGTTTAATAATCATGGGCTATCAATTATAGGTAGTTGTCTTATTAAGACATTAGTAAGTGTGAAGTACTTTCTTGAGAAAACTGTTGCTTGCTCATATATGTCAATTTTAAGAGACTTATAAAAAGATCCTTTTAATGCACATGTGTATACCAGTTACAAGGAAATGGATAGTAAAATTAATGCATTCTAGATGCATCTAGATGCCTCCTTTGCCATCATCCTTGTTTGCATTATATTTACAGGCAGGACATTGAAAAATGTCTGTCTAAAGCAGATAGAATTGGAGAAACCTATTTAATGGAGTCATTTCAAAGCCTTTCATATCAAAGCTGAGTATCTGTTTTGTTGGGTTTTGCATTTTTCTCTGTTTCTACCAGCGCAAGCACTTTCTGCTTAAATTAGTAAGATTTATAACACTTGCTGCTCTTGCGATAACCCAAGGATGCAACCATGCAGCTGATGTTTCATTTCTCTGGCTGATGGTGACTGTTGATGAGGTGAGGATTTTTTGTGCTGTCTTTGGCTGGGTCAGTTGTATAGTTGGGATAGTCATTGGATAAGCTTCTGGGCATCTGAGGAAGGGCACGGGGGTGCCTATATGTGTGCAGCAAGTGATTACAGCATGTGGGAGCATGCTCAATTGAGTCTGGTGAAGCATGGTAATTACCGCACTTCTGCAGACTTCAGTGTCACATGTATCAATGTCCCTGCACTAAAAGTGGTGGCAGGGGTGGTGTAACTAAAGCTCATTTCACAAGCTTTAGTTAAAGTGCCCCCAGCACCATTTTTCAGTGTGGGGACACTGATCCATGTGATACTCTGAGTGCTTTAATTAGAGTGGCTCTTAGAGCTGCCCTAATTATAGTTCTTCCCCACCCCCCCATACACACATTCCTGGAGCACATGTATAAACGCCCTTGATTCCTAAAATCTCATCCAACAGCTGTCCCAACTATACAGTTCATCCAATAAAAGATAGCACAGAACACCCTTACCTGTCATACATTTCCTGGACCCTCATGGCCACAACACCAGTCCAACCCTACTCCAACATGTTGGTACTACTACTTAAAAAAAAAAAAAAAGTCTGAATGCGATTTGGTTTTCCTATTCATGATCAGTGTGCAGAAGTCAGTCTGAGAGTTAGCTTCAGACACTGCAGGGGAAACTAAAAGAAGAAGCATCTACTTGGTGAAAGTGCAGTTTGAACTTGAATCTAATGGAGCTTTTCATTGTGATTGTCTCACAGATAGCTTGTTTGCAGAGACCATGACCTCCACCCGTCTCAGTAGCACACGACTCAGCACTTGCCTTCCGCAGAGCAACCACGATTCAGCCAATTTCAGCAACAATGAACTGGAGAATAACCAAGTGGTGGCCAAAATTGCAAATCTGAACTTGAGCCGGGTACCAGGGCTCTCGACAGATAATCACATAATCCCCTGTTGCCCGAACAGACGGCAACGTGCCCAGGGTGTGCCTACCTTCTTGGATACAGATATCCGTTTCCACCCCACCCGTGGGCCTGACATCACATTTTCTCAGGACCGGATGGTAGCATGCACCAACTGGCAGGAAAGCAATAGGACCCTGGTGTTTTCTGACCGGCCTTTGCACATTGGTGAAAGCCTCTTTGTGGAAGTGGGACACTTAGGGATGCCATATTATGGGGCTTTCTCATTTGGCATCACTTCATGTGATCCAGGTACTTTACGGACAAACGAGCTCCCGGCAGATCCAGACTTTCTCTTGGACCGCAAGGAGTACTGGGTGGTTTACCAAGCGTTCCCAGTTCTCAGCAGCGGCGATGTCCTCAGTTTCATGGTTTTGCCAAATGGAGAAGTGCACCATGGGATGAATGGAGTCAGCCGAGGGATGCTGATGTGCGTAGACACTTCACAATCCCTCTGGATGTTTTTCACAATCCATGGTGTAATCAACCAGCTCAAGATATTGGGTAAGTACAGCCTGAAAAATAATACAAAGGACTGTTCTTGATTTGTTAGATACTTAGGGTCAGGCTGCAGTCTCATTGCCTAAGTTGCTGACGTAGATGTCAATAGAATTTCTTGAATGAGTAAAGCAAGAAGAGTAAAGCAAAGAACTTCTTGAATGTAAGCAAGCAGGTTATTGTCTAGCCCTAGTGAAAGCACTTGGCTCTGTGAAGCATGTAATAGGATGGGTCCTTGTTATGAATGAAAGGAGAAACAATGCGTGCAACATTGGCATATGCTTCACGTGTAAGCTCACGATTGAGATTGTTTGGCCTGTATTTATGCTACAGCAAGGATGGTTTTTTTCCTTTTAATAAATTACTTAAGGAAATAAAAAGCAGCTTTATGAATCTGCTAGTTCTACCAGTAGTATAAACTCCTAACTCCTTTACATCGATGGATTTTTTTTGAAGGCTTTAATTTTGTGGACATCATGCTGCTGTTCAGCAGTTTCTCCCACATTGCAGTAACCGTATAACCTGATGTCACATTTTAAACCATGGCTGCTGAATTAGTGCAGTTTTTCCTAAAGAAGGATACTGTCAGAAAAGGGCCTCTGAATTTGCCTCTCTGCTTTGTTGGTGACTTTCTGCTTAACTCAATTTAAAGCAAGGGTCTTTGCTTAATGGTTAGTGCTGCTCACTTACTCTTTCTTCTGAAAATGTGGCTTTGGTGTCCCTGCCACATGCCCTTTGCCATAAGCGGCAGTGGTGATACTGGAAGGAGATTATTAGGTTGCTATAATCCTCTCACTGTTTCGTGTCTTGCTTGAAAAGAAAGCCCGTCTCAGAGACAGCTTGTTCCTTGGTCAATTGGGATTGTGGCAAAGTGGTCAAGCACACTGGGAGCAAGCACTATGCCCAGAAGAGAGAAAAGAGAAGACCTTAAATGGATTTAAATATTGCATAGGAATTTTAGCACACATGGTTGCCTGAGATAGCAGGGAACTGGATTCAGTGTCTCATGTGTTGCTTCCAGTGCCATATCTTTAAATAAATTAAAATTGCTAAGCAACGAGAGTGAACTCACGGGCTGAAGCTCATTTACAAAGAGAGATGTGCGATGGAACCAATTTTGAAGAAAGCACTGTCATTGCTGAGAAGTTTTGAATCCTGTTCAGGGAACTTAGCATTGATGTCTAGATGTCCATTGTCTCTGTGGCTGACTGAATTCTTATGAACTTATAGGCACTGTGCAGTCCAGCCCTGTGACTGTCTCTCCCTCAGGATCCCCTGGAGGCTCACAGTATGACAGTGACTCAGATATAGCCTTCAGTGTGAACAGGTCGTCATCTGCTTCGGAGTCATCGCTAGGTAAGGGTGTACCACACTAGTCAAGAAACAGCCAGGAGGCTGTCTTGCCTACCTTGAGAATCACCTGTTGTCTGAGACTTTTACTCTGAGTGGGTGGGAGTCTGGATGGGCCAAGGCTGTTTACTGCTGCATTATGCATTAGTGGTAGTAGGTGACTACTGATTAATAGAGGAGAATGCAAAACCCTAAAGGAGCAGGCGCATGACACATTTACTGTTGAATGAACTGACTTCACTCAAGGTGGAGCAGACATACAAAGCACAGCCTTACACCAAAGTTAAGTCCCTCCACTTGGATAATATGACCTGTAAATGGGTGTAAGTTACGCCTGTGTACTGGGTTTAGGTTCACTCTTCCAGTCAATTTGGGGGCCTGTATATGTGCTGCGGGGCTGCTTTGGTGTGCTGTAATTACAGTGCATCGGAGCAGGCTCCATTAATGGAGTCTGCTGGAGAGTGGTAATTACCACCACTCCAGCCAGCCTCTGGCATCTCATGTATCAGTGTCCCCGCACTTCAAAATGGTGGTGGGGCACTTTAACTAAAGCTCACTGAACACTAATACATGAGACTCTGCAGCGCTTTAATTAGTGCACCTCCAGAGCACGTATAAAATTGCCCTTTAGTTCCAGGGTAGCCATTTGCCAATGCAGACTGGCTTCCCTGCCACCTCATGACCAAATGCTGTAATGGTCACTATGGTGGCCATTCAGCCTGGGTGGACAGGTCATGCATTTGCTCCTTACAGCAGAGATTATTTATTATTAGAGGTGCATGGACATATTGGTTGCATATTAAATCAGCACTGATAACAGGAAAATTAACATTATTGGCAGTTAGCATGTTTTAGCCGATAATGTCACCGATAAATGCTGCATATGTATGCGTAGCTGCAGCATGCACACAGCCAGGAATGTAGCCCAGCAGCTTGGAGAGCAGCACCTAGCTGGTAAGTCTGTGGGGGGAAACAAATGTAAAGAAGGGAAGGAGCATGGGGGGGGCAGACTGAGACCCCCCACAGTGAGGACAGGAATGGGGCTGGGGCAGAGGCATGGGACCCCAGGGCCAGGTGTGGGATGGAGCCACAGGCAGCTCATCCAGGGGGCACTGTGGGTTGGGGAGGTAGGGTGGCTCCCTGCCGCTGTGTGCACCCCTGTTGGAGCCATGGGGGCATATGCCCCCCCAGATTTGTGTGCAGTGTGAGTGTGGAGAGCTTAGAGCTGCCCACTGCCAGCTTGGGGCAAGGGGCTGCGCCAACCTTTTCCCAACAGGGGGCTGGGCCAGGGCTGTGCTCGGGGCAGGTGGGGGCAGGGTAAGGTGGGCTCAGATGTGCAGGGTGGGTGGGTGGTGGCTCTGGGAGGGGTGGCTATGGGGGGGTTACAGGGAATTTTTGGGTGGCAGTAGGGCCCCAAGCCTTCCCTAGTGCCACCTCTGCCCAGGGTACTGCGTTCTGCTGGCTTTCCCTCTGGAGCCCTGGTGCCCTGAACAGGGATGGCACTAGGAGGGGTTGGGGGGCTATAGCCACCCCAAAATTCCCTATAGCCCCCTCTGCAGCCACTGCTCCCAGTGCCTCTGCCACCTGCCCTGTGCTGCTGAGCCTGCTGCACCCCAAGAACAGACCTAGCCCAGGCTCCCTGCTGGAAAGAGGCTGGCCCAGCCCCTGGTCCTGAGCCTGCAGTGGGTAGCCTGCCTTTGCCCCATGCACAAATTGGGGGTCACATGCTCCCCCCATGCCTCCTGGGGCCAAGTGTGTACAGCAGTGGTGAGCCACCCCCCTTCCCGGTGCCCCTGGACGAGCTGCCCGCAGCTCCAGCTGGGCAGCATCTGCCCCTGCCTCACTGTCGCCCTCATTGTGGGGGCCTCCATTTGGCCTTTGCATACCCCTTCTCTCCCCCACACCCCTTCCCCCCAACAGACTTGCCAGCAGGATACTGCTGTCCAAGCTGCCAGGCTGCATTCCTGTAAATCGGCTATCGGATCGGTATTGCCTATATGGCTAATAATTGGCTATTGGTATTGGCCAAGAAAATCTTTATCACTGCACCCCTATGCACCACTGAGTAAAATCCATATTGCGTCCCGTGTTGTCACCCAAAGAGAATCTGTACAATATAGCAGTAGCATGTGTTACAGTGGCAGTTTGTTTAATGGTAACCAGAGCTTCCTGGCTCCAACTCCTAATTCCAGCACTTCCAATACGTGCTCTGTAGCCTTAGATAAACCATTTAAGCTCCAGGCTTGCTGTGAGGAGCAGTCCAGGTATATAGCACTTTAGCACTTGTGGGCAGCATTTGGAAAGTGCTGTTGTTTTCATCTTAGGCAGGTTTTCTTTAATTTCTCTTCCACTAATATAACTGGCAAATACTCACAGCTCCAAGTACACTGCTGCATTTCCATCCCAGAAGTGCCATTATGCCATGGCTCATTGGTGCCTAAGAGCAAACTCCAGGCAGGTTTCCTTTTAGAGAGTGAGACCTTCTGAGAGATCTGGGGCCTGGCACCTGTGTATGACTCTAACACTTGGTTCCCAGGGGGTGCGCAGGGCAGGCACAGTATGCAGCTGTTAAAAGTAACCGCAAGGCCCTGCATGCATCAGCACACCCTGCTGCTAACCAGATGTGTAAATCCAAGTCTGATTTTTAACACGCACTGTGAGTAGGTTTTAGAAGTTGAGAGAAACACACTTAGGAAATGACTATGGATGTGTGTGGCTGGAACACAATGAGAATCTTGTTATTGAATCTTGTTACTGAATGCCATTCCTCTGTCCTCCCCTCCTTTGCAGTGACTGCTCCTAGCTCTCCTCTGAGCCCTCCTCTCTCTCCTGTATTCCCTCCTCCGGAGCCCTTGAGCAGCAAGAATGGGGAGTGCACGGTCTGCTTCGACAATGAGGTGGACACCGTGATCTACACCTGCGGACACATGTGCCTCTGCAACACCTGTGGTCTTAAGCTGAAGAAGCAACTCAACGCCTGCTGCCCAATCTGCCGACGGGTCATCAAAGATGTTATTAAAATATACCGCCCTTAACCCCTTCACCCCAGCTTGGAGTGCAGGAAGGGAGAACTCTGCTAGCAGTAACCATGCCTTTCCGTCCCTGCTTATGGGTTATCGTGCTGGTCAGTTGTTATCAAGTGGCTCGTTGTCTGTGTTTCCATATATGACTGGTAGAACAAATCAGGGATATTACTGAGCTGAGGATCTCTCTAGTCTAAATGCAGCCTGAAGCTAAGGCTTCCAAGTAGGCAGGGCTTTGAAGGTGTTTGTCCTTTGGCTTAAGGCAGTGAATCATTGTTGGGAACCTGTTTCAGCTCCAAAGAGAGAAGTTTCCTGTGCAATGGTTTTTCCAGTTGAGGAAGGTGCATATGTGAGGAGGAGAGTCCATTTAGTTGCAGTTGGGTCTGAGTGCCTAGTTTTGTGCAAAGCTTTCAAGCTGCAACTGTGATTAGTGGGCTATTGTGTACCCAGAACATGCCCCAGCAGGCATTGCAGCATGATGGAACAGTCATAACCAGCCCCAAGCAATGAGTTAAGGGTGGATTTTAATTTTTTTTTTTTACACAAGGATAAAAATAAATCCCAAGTCAAGGAAACAAGTATGTGTGGGCTAGAGGTTGTTTCAGGACAAGCTAGCTGCAATATCAGGTACTCATTCATTTACCCTGTTCTGGACTCCCATCTGGTCACTGACCTTAGCAGAAGAATAACCCTAGCACCAAGTGTGCCAAGCCCTTAGAGTCTATAATGCATCTTCTTAAAGATTTGGCAGAGGGTACTGGCAGCAAAGCAGCAATAGACTGGCTGCAGCTACACCTTGGTACCAGCAAAGGAAGGAATTAATAAAACCCCCCCTGGGATCTTTGTGCAGGGAAAGCAGCTGTATCAGTAGTGTAAGTACATTAAATGGCTTGTTGTTATAGCATTTTTCCAAAGCAGCTCCTTAAACTGCACTGTCTGTTACCACATGGTCTTGGATTGTGAAAGAAAGAACCAGACAGATATGCACTCAGACAACTGAGTACATTATCATCTTGGCTTAAGGGAAAAGGATTGAAGAAAAGTCCTGGATCAGGTATCCAGGGTAGATAGCCAAGAGTCTGCATGTGAGGGCGAGAAAGCTGTATGCTCCCTGTAACACAGTCAGGTTGTGTAAAGCCTGCTGTAGCTGCAGCCATCTAACACCTGTCCAGCATCCAGCTTCACACTTAACGTAAGGCCCTTTCTGTGAATCCTTTCTTTGTAGCCTGCCCACTAGCCAAGCACTGCTGTTACTCCCAGTGGCAGTAATGACCTTCTCATGTATTAATGGGGACTGTGTCATGGAGCTGAGGGGGGAAGCCCCCAGGAGACTGCGTTCTCGCTGGACAGAGAGAAGTGGTCGGCACTGAGGCCTCATTATTGTATTTCAAAAACCCCAAAAGTTTCCTTTTTGCCCTTCAGATTTTGCATTCTCCCATCTCTGAGGCTTTATCAGCCAGATATACAGCTTCTTAGTTTCTTTCCTGTCTTACCAGAAATCCTGATTTACTCAACAGGAGAAAGTGTCATGTTGAAATTAACAGGTCTCTCAGCGTTACTTGCAATAACCATTGGAAACTATTATTCGATGTTAAGTCTTAAAAAGTAGAGATTCTATTGTGCTTTCACAGCCATAAGTGCACAATGGGCTATTACAGTGCAGAGGAGTGAGCGGGGCTAATGGCCTCTGCCGTCTTGTGCCCCCCACTCAGGTTTTTGAACCCTTGAACCTGGATCTCTATTTTCTGCTTCAGAACATGCACTTCCCGCCTCTGCTGTCCTTCAGTCAGCGCCCATGACAGGGCTTGCTGTGCTCTTAGTCATCCATATGTGACCAGTCGCCCAGCTCCTCCAGCAGCTCTGCCTAGAAAAGTGAATAGGTTGTGGACATGAGGCATGGCTGATCTCAGCCTGGTGACCATTTATAGGCCTTGCTTGCAGTGTTTGCTTTTTGGGGGTGGGTGTAACTAAGCCTGGAAACCAGAAGTCACTTGTGCCACAGGGCTGCAGCAGTTGGGCTTTGAGGGTAATTCATGTTTGTGCTTTGGGACCCCTTTCTCCATCTCTTCAGAGATTCACCATCTCCTCCAGCCTTGTTGCTGTCCTTTCACTGATCCTAATCTGGAAGCGTTAGCTGTATTCCTTCACAGTTTAGCTTTGTTGGTAAAGGCCCAAGTGGCACTTGGAAGCTGTTGGTGGCATTCTTGCATAGCCTGGCATGGAGATCATTTATTAAGTCATGAGAATACTTCAGAGGAATCAGTGTCCCCATCCCACTTCACCCTTTTTCTGTGTCCAGCTGTTGCAGGAGCTAACATCATGACCAAGAAGAAAACTTGTTTTTTTTCACAGAGAATCTGAAAGCTGTTATTAAAGGCCTTGAGAAGACCAATGAGTAGTTGGAGCATTAGCTGATCTCAAAGGCCCTGCATGTCTAGATTAGCTCCTTGTTTTCCAAAAAATTGTCCTTGTATGACATACAGATCAACATGGCTGCATCATGCTGTATGCTGACCTGAACAAAGCAAACAGGAATCCTTTAACTATTAGCCAACTACAAGGCTCCAGTTCCAGCTCCTGAAAGAAGGACTGGTCTTCATCTGGAGATCCAGCACCACTGAGCTGTGACAATGTCCAGCAGCTTGAGGCCCTGCCCGGAGCGGCTCAGAGTTCCTGAGACAGAAGCGTTGTCAGGGCCGTGCTCGGTGCGAGAAGGGGAAGTTTCCATCCCTCCCCCAGAACTTCACACCAAGTGGAGCTGCAGATCAGAGCACACGTGCTGTCTCCTTCCACCACTTCTAAATCCTTTGGTTAGTTTCCAGCCCAGCTTTTCTTTTCCAGTGCGTGTGAACCCTAGCTTGGCCTTTCAGACATGAGGCACAGCCCCTGCTCCACCCACCTACCAAGTGAGCACCAGCTATGAGGTGCAGGGGGAGAGTGGGCATCTTTAGGAGCGCTGAACATTTTATGGGTTTGGGATCTGACCTCAGGCAGGCTGTGAAGAACAGTTTACACTAGCTGAAGATTTGTCCCTGTCTGTTTTAAGTGCATCACTCTGGTTTGCTGCTACCATGATGTGTAATGCTAAGACATCATAGAAAAACAGGACTGGAAGGGATCTCAGGAGGTCACATCTACTCCAACCCCCTCCTCAAGGCAGGATCATCCATGTCTAAAAGCCATTGTAGGCAAGTGCTTGTCTAACCTGTTCTTAAAACCTCTAGGAACAAACCCTTATACACAACTACTAGACATCAGAAACCCCTTTTAACTTGCACAGGTAAAGCTGGGGAATGAGGGTGCTCTTCCCTGTGTTAGCTGTTACAGTGGGGCAAAACTTCCCCTTTGCTTGTGGCCTAGCCTCCAAAATCAACCCCTTAATTCCATCAGCCTGGTGTCTCAGTCCTGGCCCCCGGGAGTGTGTTTGACATAGCTCGTTTTAGCTGATGTGTGCGAAATCCAATCACCATGGAGGGCACAGCTTGGTAGGGGGTTGCAGGACATAAGACGTCGCACAGGATTAATTTCTGGCCTAGCAGCTGTGATGGATTTCCAAAAGGGCAGCATCCAGCAGAGACTCAGAGGGCTCAATCATTCAGGGTAATTAAGCTAGTTAATGTCCAGAGTGTGGCTGTGCAGTGGATTGTAAAATGAGCATTAGTGGACGTGTAACCCTACCTATTCCAGTCTGACAAGGATTTTCCACCAGAGATCCAGAGGCCTCTCTGAGCTTTCCAGGGGAGATAAGGTGGCCTCCTAGGAATTTAATTGTTAGTACTTGTATTGCTATTTTTTTTAAAGTCTGATATGATTTGTACAGAAGATCTGTTTGTGCCTTATAAGGGTGTCTGTGCACTTTTTATCCTTTTTAAAGCAACTTTTAAAAACATGGGAAAAAAATTAACACAGATCAATGGTAGTTTTATAGATTTTGTGTTCACTGAGAATCCTGCTTTTTCTTTTTTATATTGGAGTGAAAAATTGTTTGTTTCCATGGATTTTCCCCCCCCCTCCTGCCCTCTTTGTAAAGAAAAAAAAAGCCTTTTATTTCCCACTTTCTAAGACAGCTGATTGCTTTCATTGTTACCTTTCTGATTCAATACTGTGATCTGTACATCACGTTCTATGCTGAACCAGATTCTGGGCCTCTGTTACAGGCTTTTAAAGCAAGCTGTTTCGGGGATAGGGGGGCGCGAGGGTGGGATTTGCACTTCTACATGTCAATATTCTATAGTGTTGTGTTCTGTGCTGTGTGTTTTATTTTTGTCCATTCACCTGTTTTACATTAATATAATTTTACCTGTTTATGAAACGAATAAAAACTTTGGCTTGTAAAAGTTCTCACCAGCCTTTCAGATTTTGAAGCGTAGGTGGGGATTTTGTTGTAGCTGATGTTGCAGGGCCATGTTCTCAGCTGGTACAAAAACCAGCATCACTGCTACTGAAGGCAGAGGAACTCCACCAGTATAACCAGCAGCGGGTCTGGGCTCGGGTACTATATGCACACATTGTAATTGGGCTTAGTTGTATACAAAAGGGTCCCACTTATCGTAAGTAAAAGCCTGACCTGTGCACCCTAACTTTGCCTCATAGGCCTTACAAGAAGGTGAGCCTTGGACTGGTAGAATAAGTTGGTAAAAATGAGGAAATTAAAAAAGAACTGCAAATCCCAAGAAGCTTTATTCCATTATGAAGGTCCAGCTGAGCTTCACAGCACGTAGGGCTAAGCAGACTTTGTAACTGAAAGCACCCAAAGGAGTGATGGAGACAGCATCACATCCAGCTGCTGCTGACACTTCGGCCCAGGTACCCACTTACAGCTGAGTCAACTGGGGACAGACTGGGCCCAAGTCCAGAGTACTGCTTGAGCCCATACCACAGGAGCAATGGTGAGGCCCCTTAACTTCTCTGCCACTTTGCATAATATTAATAACTGGGGAATGTACATGCCAGAACCAGCCTCCCGTGACCTGGACTAAAGCTGTTGTACACAGGACTGACCATTAGCAAAGTCAGTTAAGCTGTGAAGACAATGAGCATAAGTTAAAGCATGTTTAATGTGTGTGTGTGGCCCCGTTCGGAAGTGGCCTTTGTTCATTGTGGTTGGATCCTTTCTGGAAGTGTTATTTCATCCTGGATCACTGCCCTCTAAATCAATCCTCAAGGCAGAAATAAACTGAAAGTGAGCAAGGGTTAGTGTCTCCATGGCACAAATTCAGCCGTGCAGAGATAATCCCTGCTAGCCCAGACAAACTGATGCATCTCAGTAGCACAGTGCCAGGCATAGATAGTAGGGCCTTGTTACATGGTAATTTTGGGTGGCTTCTGGAGCTCTTAACCCCTGGATTGTCTGCACATTAACACCTTACATTTATGTGGCCCAAAGTTATGCCACTCCAGGACAGGATTATCTCTGATCTGCACCACTCAGATCCTGGTCCATTAAGGTGTGCCACTCCCCACAAATGTGCTGCCCAAGTTGAAGTCCTCCAGTGTCCCAGGGTCTCTCTCACACCCCTGCCAGTAAAGCAGGGATAGCCTGTCCTGGCTCACGAGCCCTCTAGTGGCAACTCAGAGCTCCAGCTCCTAGTCCTGCCTCTGCTCACCAGGCCTCTGGTGGCAAGTCACAGCTGTGCAGGTGGGGGACAGTCAGAGAAGGTTTGTAGACTAAGGATGTGACTGCTCTAGACCCCAAACTAGCACTAACACCAAGGTGCATCTCCCAGCTGTAACTCAGAACAATTTCTGCAAAGCATCCTGAGTTGGAGCGTTACCCCAGACCAAACACAAGTTCATGGTTGGGTCCGGAGGGGAGAGGAATCCAGCTGGGGGCTGGAAGCCTGCAGCCAGGTTCCCACAGCAGGTCACAGCTCTCTAACAGCGCTGGCTGTTTTCAGAATGGGAGCGGGGAAAGGCAGCAGAGGGAGCTCATTCCTGGGGCTCCCCAGCTGGCAGAGAAGGGTAAGGTGGGTGAATTGGAGCACCCCACCTCAGGTGGGCTCCACTACACCTGCCCCACTCTCCAAGGGGGCTGAACCCCCCCAGCCTGAACTCCCTCCACTCCCTTTCCCCCCCACTCCCGTTCTGAAAACAGCAGCAGGCTGGGAGCTCTGCAGACACATGCTACAAAAGGCACTACATATTGAAACGTGTTGATCTGATACCTCATGGGGGGGTAGACTTTGAACTGATGGGCCATTTTTTAAGGTGTCTGCAAACATGCACTTGTGTTTGGTCACAACTATAGAGTGCTTTCTGTGGCCATATCTGGCAAAAAGCATCGCGTCTGCATCCTGATCAGCATTTGTGCAGCTCACAGTGCAAGGCCCTCACTCAGATCCTGACAGCCACCACGGAGTGTGCCAAGGAGCTGAGAAGCAGGAGTGATTAGCTCAGGCCCAGTGCTGATTGATACAGCTGTGTGGCTTCCTTGTTACACAGTACTTTTGGGTGGTTCCTGGAGCTCTTAACACCCAGATTATCCCTACATTAACACCTGAAACTGGTTTTCAACACTCTTTAGGTGACTCACGGCTACACCACTCCGGGGCAGGATTATCTTTGATCCTTGTTACACTAATGTGCAACCACTCTACCCTACACCAAACCTTCCACTTTCCCCACTGTCCCCCATCCCCCACCACTCCCAATCCCTGCTCACAGCCCCTCTGCTCAGCCCAAAAGTGAGGAGCAGCCCAGCACCCATGGGGGCTGGGCAGGCCGATTAACCCTTCCCTGTCTGCTCTCCTGGGACAGACAGCTCAGGAAGTCAGGAGGGGGTGGGATGGGTGGAGAGGAGGTGGGGGGATTTCCCTTTCAGTCCCCCAGGTCCCTGCTGGCCTCAAGTGTGACTGCTCCAAACTCAAGCTAGCACTAACACCCATCTGTGTTTGTGCCGCTCAGCATAAGGTATCTTGGGCTCCCATCTAAAGCTATTTCACGGGCATTTGGATGCAACAGGCCACCATGCAGAACGTCAGCTAGCGTCCAGCAGTTCCATCTTTGCTAAACAGAGAAAGCAAACATGTCCCATGGGCTCTTCTGATGTCTGTTTAAAACTAAACTACAAACTTTCCCAGGGATTACAACACAGACCATGTCTTGTGAGGAGCTGGGCCTTAATGCAGAGGCACGGTGCTGGTATCACTTTCATTTGGCCTCTGCACATAAAAGCTATATTCCCACTTCCAGAATCCTTTCAGGTTGATCCTTTCAGTAAGTAAGTTTTACCTTATTCTGGATCACTGCCTTCAAATCAGTATTTGAGGCAGAAATAAACCAAAGGTGAGCTAAGGGTAGTGCCTGCATGATGCAGAGATGATCTCTAGTAGCTCAGAGAAACCGATGCATGTACACAACACAGAGCCATGCAGATCCTAGCTCAGATCCTGATAGCCACACAGTGTGCACTAACCAGTCAAGAACTGATCCAGCTTCATCTTAAAACTTGTTACAGTCTTCTGCCCGCACAACTTGATTGGAAGCCTGTTCCAGACCCTTGTTCTCATAGTCAGAAACCAGTTTCCATTAGTAAATTATTCATGGCCCACTTCAACCTTTTATTCTTTTGCCCACTTCATGCTTGCCCACAACTGCTGCTTACCCCTGCCCAGGGGCAGGGGTTGGGGGGGTGGTCCCCCAGCAGCTGATTGGCAACCAGAGTGGGGAGGTCCCCCACAGCCGATCAGCTAGCGTGCCAGTGGCACGGTGGTGGCAGAAGTGCCAGCGGCGTGGCGGCAGCAGAAGTGCCGGCGGTGGCAGCACCCACTGTCGAGTACCCCTGAGGCCATCAGAAGTACCCCCAGGGGTACATGTACCCTGGCTGAAAGCCCCTGCACTAGAGCACTGGCCAACTCAGGAGATATGAGGTGAGACTAAGCCAGACCAAAACCCAATCTTCAGTCCTTTTCCGCTTTGCCATGGATGAGGGAGAATTTAACACCTTCCCCCAAAAGCTTTGTATTTCTATTATATGGACCTTGCTTACTCACCTCACCTTGCTCACTTGCTCCCTCCTCAGCCTACATGTGAATCCAGCTGGCCTCTTTGCAGCTGCCTCTTTATCCTGATGCCCCAGCATAGGAAGTCATTTTGAGCCTCCTTTCACTGAGCCGTGCAGTCAGACTCCAAGTGCGCTCTTGAGTGATCAGACTCACGCCTGGCATCCTCCCCCAGCTGATTCCCGCACTGCCAGACACATGGCAGTATTTGCGCGAGTGAGCAATGACGTCGCCCTGCTCCACAGAGCAGAGGCTATGCAGGCAGGCTGCCCATCGCAAATGTGCCTTCCTGTTATTTAACAGGCAAGGGCCAGCACAGGGCTGATCTGTAAACTGTTTATGTTCTGCAATGCAGCCTGTGGGATCCAAGGAACGTCAAACAGCTCTAGCTGTGGTTGGAGCCACGAGGGGAGGAATTCATTCATAACTCTGCCCTGGCAAGAAAGAAAGAAGTGTCCTGTTCTACAATCACTCCAAGCCAGGGTGGCAGAGGACCCAGGCTGAAGCTGCTCCTGCCGAAGGAGCTTTGTGCTCTGCACTGCTGAGTTTTTTCCAGCGGTAAGGCCACTGCTTCTGGTTTAACAATGGTCTGGCTCTGCTAGCAGCATGGCTGAGGGGAAATTAGTAATGCTGGCCTACCTCCACAGAAGGACTGAAGCATCCCCAGGCTCAGCATTGCAATGCCCGACTCATAGGCACCTACTCGGCCAGCAAGCGTGGCAAGCAATGCTACATTTGGCACGTAGGCTCCAACCTGAGGCACCTACTTGGTTGGGAAGCAGCAACTACCTGCTGTTAAGATTCCTAGCACCTCAGCCAGGCCCATCCTTCCCACACACAGGGTCTGCCAATCTGAAGGTCACAAAATACAGAGGACCGGGGGTCCTACTATTGGAGAATCCTGCTATTAGCCAATATCTCAGCTGTTGGAGCATTGTCAGCTAAAGCTCTTCCACTTTGCATGGCCGGGTTAAATGCTCATGGGGATGGACAGCATGAACAAATGAGTCTGAATTCATGGCTAAAGCACTCATACAGCAGTGGGAAGCCCTTAATTTGAGTTGCTTCTGCAATTAATATATTATTCTGCTTCCACAGGACAGATGGAGAAAGGCCCAACCCAAAACATCTCAGGGCCTGGTCCCCAGGGGCCTCCCCAGGAGCTACAGGCTCAAGTCCTTCAGGTGGAGGTGGGCTTTGAACCCTGCTCCCTCCAGCAAGCGCTACTGGGTCAGAGGGGCAGCAGTAGTGGGTCAGAGGGGCAGTAGTACTGGCTGCTTTTCATGCAAGTCCAGATCCAGTGGGTGCTGCCCGAGAACACCTGTCAGACAGGGCTGGGC